AGCACCCTGAGCATGCTCATGCCACTGGGAGGGATTTTTTTTCAAGGAATGCTCCAAAGCAAGTAAAAGTAAAATCCATCAGAGCATAAAAATGTCTATTATATTTGGCTGTAGAAAATCAGTCACAATTACTGTTTGAGTAACTGGCTCTGTTAACCCAGGGAATAATCTTATCTATCAACAACAGAATTTTATGACATCTGATCCCTGGCAGATTTACAGATGAATCATAACTTGCTAACAGCAAAGAGAAAAACTTGTTGCAGCCAGGAGAGAAACTCAATGACAAAATGCTGGCAGTTCATTAATCTTGACTGTGAACTTGATGGAGAACATCACCAATAATATCCAAGGCCAGAGCATTAATGAAAGGGGATCATCTGAAGAACAAGGAGCTGTGGGAATTGCTCATCTTAAACCCTTAGCAAAGAAACATTTTGATCAAGGCTGACACCTTTTCACCAAATTTTCATCTTACAGATGGTGTGTAGTATAGATGGAAAGCCACTAGCTTTGTTTCTCACTTTCTCACACTAAAATGAGATATATTTTTAGCCATCTATCTGAAGATATATGCAAAATAATTTTCTTTATTTTTACATTTTCAGTTTTCCCCATCTGTGGGGCTTTTCTCTGGGAAATTAAATTGTGGCTGGGATATTCCAATGTAAGTAGCAGACATTGGGCATGGCTTTATCTTCTTTTTTATTCCTTCTCCATGTTATTTTCTCCTGTGCTACTGAATATTTGATGACTTCTCATGGAGATGCATACCTTAAACTTCTGAAAGGAGTGCTAAATTACTCATTCATTTGTAATGCAGTAAAATTAAATTAAATTAAGTGGGGCTTGATGGCTTTACAGTGATGTTACTGAGTAGTAGCTCAAGCTGTCAGAAAATCCCAGGTGCAGTACCTCCATCAGCTTTTTTTCCAGACAATCAATCTATCAACCCTAAACCCAGAGGCAATCACTTCCTTATTGCTTCTGTCCTATTCATAGACCAATATTGACATATTTTATGACATAGTTCTATAGTTATTTTGATCTTTTAAAATCAAATAACTCTAGTTTTCTCTCTGTAACATAGTCATGCCCATGAGAGAGAACTGTTAGGAACAGGGCATAGAATTTAGGATCAATACATTTGATGATCAAGAAGTAAAAGGAAAACCAAAAGCTCTCCTGCCTAGAAGCAATGCAGAGGCTTTTGCCATGGGCACAGAAACATCTGTATAAGGAAGCCCTAAGTCACACATGCATATAAAAGCCAACAATAAAGGAAAAATCACCACCAGAGTCAACCAGACAAAATCCCCTCTAAGTCACACAGACCTCTTGACCATCTAGCAGCAACCAGCAAGCAATTAAACAAATTCTTCACTATCACAGGTTTCCATGGT